ATTAACAAGAGAAAATGGTAAGACCAAGACACGAATATTGCCAGCTAGTGAAGTTCAGGCTCTGATTGCAGAGTACGATCGTTTGGAAGCTCTGGCAGAACAAGCAAAAAAAGAGAAACAGAAACTATAGGCTAGCAAAGGAAACTAACCTAATTTTTACTTTGTATGGTTATGTCAACAGAAAGACTATTGACTGCACGATAAAATAATAAAATAATAAGACTTTTTCTTTATGTTTTAGAAAATTTATATTTTCACTTCACAAGTGTTTTTCCAATATTCCCTTCACCATTAATAAAGTACGGTAGAAACTGCATTTAGACAATTTTTCAAAAAATATATGATTTTGTTGTTGATGTCCAATGCAGTGGTACTACCCATGGTGGTAATTGATTTAAAATGGATTTATAGGGTAAATCCGCCAATCTTGAGTATAAAAAGTAATGGCTGACGAAGAGGATATCGATAACGGCATCCACATCCGTGGAAACCTGAAATTTAATGGACTTCGATTACATGCTATAATACAATAACAATGAATAGCTTACCGTCATATCTAGCCACAATTGCCAAGGACCTGCTGGATCCGATGCTGAACTTAGCAAAATGAAATAAAGTGGTCTGTCATTCCACGTGATGGTTGTAGTAACGTTGTCAAGCAGTGACCAAGAGTTGAGCACTACACCCGCACGAGGTACCAAAATAAGATTCAAACGATTTGATCCCGATACGTTCAAGTACAATCTTCTAGCTTCGTCAGTGGTACTATTCCAAGCCGCTGTTAATATTGATTCTTCAGTCTGATTAATGGTTGGGGCTTTTGAAGAAACCCAAACGCTCTTGTTTCTAAAATAACACAATGAATTAAATACTTGGCGCGAATTTTGACCTACCTATTAAAATGAGCTTACACAAGCGGAATATCTCTGGTCTTCCACAAGGGCATTCCGCAGTACGTAATATTATTATTACAACTGACATCAACTACTTTAGCATTTTGTAACTCTGGTA